TCCCTTGTTAGACTACGCAGGGAGCGTCCTCAGCAATGGGAGACAGGCTGGGCCAAACAAACATGTTTGCGGATTTGGTGCATACCAGCACAGCCCAGCGGAGGATGTTTTAGGACCATATGACTTGAAGCAACTGAATTACTGAATCTAGTCATGATTGCAGACTTCATCTAATACTTGTTTAATCCAGAAAAGTCCAGACAGCATCTACTCTATACCAAACAGTTCTCAGCACCTTATCAGCCACCCTCTAACAGTACTTGCCAAGAACTGTATGTCAATTTTAACCATTTTAGGTACCTGCCGAGTGCCAGATTTAAGGAACTTTCTGCTTTGACAAATTAACACTTCTGTTCTGTCCAATTTTCCCTCAACTCATATAACCTTCATATCTGCCTTTCTGTTGCTGTCAGCCCAAAAGAATACTCTTGGAAGTCAGTCTTGATTGAAATTGAGGCTGTAAGCACTTTAAATTTTAATTACAGTTATTTAGCATGTGAATGGGATGACTGCTACCTGCTATGCAAAGATGTACAGATCATCAGGTTTCTACCTATAAACTGGTAACAAAGGAAGTGATCAGATAAAGTGTGTGGAACAAAAAAGCTTCTAGCTCTTATCTATCTTGTGGATACACAGGCTTTTCATGAAATTCTAGGCAAAAAACACCACCAAATTAGAACACAAACCATCAACTTTCACCCAATATCATCTGCAGTGAATCACAAAAATAGTGTGTTTGACTGAACCTTTATGAAAGGAGTTTAGTCCTCATCTGACATATACAGAGGTGAATTAAAATTTGTTCATTCAGAAATCATTCCTACTTCTAAAAAGCAAATTATTCCTAATTCCTCTTTTAAATTTGTCTGGTCAGCTTCAGTTTGCAATTATTGTTTCTCATTATGCTTTTCTCCACTAAATTAATGAGGTCTTTAATACTTGGTGTTTTCTCATCATGAAGGTATTCACACTGTAATCAAAACATTTCTCTATTTTTTTTTAATAAATATAACAGGTTAAGCACTATGAATTTTTTACTAGAAAGTATCATCTCAAATTATAATTCTGTTTTTCTAAGCATTTTTGGAACTCTTTTCTGCAATTTCATTATTTTTTCAATATTCTGCTGAAAATGTGGACACTCGACATGTTAGCAATGCCATTTGCAATGGAAAAATCTGTAAGTTATTATTCCTCTCTTTACTCATCCAAGAATCACATTCAGGCCTCTTTTTGTATTAACACCTGTTATCTAACGAGTCGCCAAGCCAATTCTTTATGAAGTTTTATCTGTAAATTGTCCAGATATACTGATAAATTGTTAGCTAAGTCACATATACCATTTGGCAGCTCCAGCTCCTGGAAATCCAGTAGTCACTTCAAGGGCTCATTTTTCCATCCATATGCCTATAACATACAGGAATGCAATTGTACGTGCCTGTCTGTCTGTCCTTTCTCAGGTCATGCAGTCCATTTCCCCCACCATGCCCCAGCGCATTCACGATCTCTCTTTTCCAAACCTGAACATACAATCTTTAGTGCTAATGCAGCTTTTCAGTTTGCATGGTTCTGGCATTACACTCAGTATCTGCAACTCAGCCAAGATCTCCAGAGAGAAGGCTATAGGCTGCCTATACATATAGCATGGGGTAATCCACTGAGCCGAGGAGAACACAGCAAGCAGAGAAGGAGGCAGCTTTCAGATAGAGAAGCAGTATGGGGGAATTGGACAGAGGGCCAAAACATGCAGCAGCAGCAGCAGAAGCCAAAATGGGCAGGAGACATTCAGATGGGATCTGCTGTGCTGGCTGCCTTTTTGATTAAATTTGTCTTTTTTCCCCACCATCAACCTCTGTTCTTCAGCTTGTCACTTACTGTATTACCTTTTTCTCCACTCTACTTTTCTCTACAATATCCTTTCTCCTACTGCCTTTTATATCCAGTTGGCTCATTTTGACTTAGATTCACCCTTCCCTACCAAAGCTCTTCATGGAAACAGCATTTCTCCTGCTGCTTTCACATCCCTCTTTTGGGTCCTGTGTGTCACCCCCTTGTCTCTTGTCCTCCTCCTCTAAGAGATTAGAATGTTTCTGGGGCACGGACCACCTGGAGCCATGTTCACCCAGTCCCTTGTGCAACTGGGCCCCTGTGCTTGCTAATTTTATTTTAGCTGCTATCCTAATAAATGTGACTAATCACAATAGCACTGTGATGTCTAGTAGGAGAGACTGATGAAATAATTGTGTAGCGGGGATGAAACAGCCGGGCTGATGGTGAAGCAGAGCAGGCATTAGCTGTACCAGCCTTACATAACATTGCAGGCTGAGTGAGAAGCACCCAGAAGGAACTCACTTCTCATCTCACCCCTTCCTCCCCCTTTATTATAAAAAGGAAAAAAAAAAAAGGAAAAAAAAAGGTTATTTTTCCTTTACTGCTGCCGCATGCCTGGGTGCAGGTCCCTGGGCTCGCAGTGGGGAGGGAGGGACAGCTGCCGTTCTGCGCCGGCTCAGGACTCACTCCAGCTCTGATCCCACACGGTTTGCTGGGCACAGAGTCAGGTGTCACTGTTAAAAAATGGTTCTCTGCCTTCTGATTCATGATGGCTTTTTTCCTATCTTGCAGTGGATGTGAAATATAATTTGAGTTTCAATATATAGCTGGGGGGGCCTTTCTTCTCTTGTTAATTAGTTATAACCCTTGCCTGGTACCGATGCTTATGTCACTTTAGATGGCTGATATCTGCTAACCACCTTTCTGAAAGATTACAAAAGACCCATGAAAATGAGAACAGAGAGATGGACGGATGGATGGATGGATGAGGGATGCCTCTATTACAAGGAACGAGCACAGAAAGCTTGGATTAGGGTGAACAGCTGGTGCGGATTCAATAATCAACTGCTCTGAAAGAAAAGCCTATTTTTTCTCATCCCATGGCATTAGAGAACAGGATACCAGAGCTGCCAACCTTACAATTGAAATCTGCCCACACAGAATAGCAAATTCCCCTTGGTTTGCATTTAAATGCTCCTGGCTCAATTATAACTCCATACAGTCTTTAATACATACATGTGGTCTGCATATTATCCTGCAAACAGAGCATTGCACTGCTTCTCTCAGCGTGTCTCTGCTGTCATTCAACAGCAAAGGGAGGGATGGGGCGGGGGGAGAGAAAGGAGGACAGGGGGCTTATCGAGTTTACAGCTGCTGCTGAGAATATTGGTTTGATTCTCACTGCTGGTCGGGATTCATTTCAACAACAGGCAGCAGGCTGGGGAGGTGAGTGTTGGTTTAGCAGACTTAGGAGGTCATTCTTCAGGACAGCCTTTTGGGAGTAACACACTCGGCCAAAGAGCCAGCTTGCAGCTGGGAGCCATCCTGGTGAGACGTGGCATAAGGAAGGGATGCAGCACTTTTGGATGTCAGAGGAGAATGGCAGAGCCGGCACAGAAATCTCTGTATGAAAAATGGTGAGGCTTGTTGGCTGTTGATTATCCCAGATATTTTAGTGATGCTAAACATGGCAGGGTTACCAAGACTTTCTCTGACCCTATTGGCAGCAGCAGCAGTAGCAACAATTCACTCCTCTTTCCTTTCATCTCAGCCTGGCAGCCAGTCCTAGGAGACCAACATAAAGCCCCTTGTTTTGTTCACCTGAGCCCTCTTCTCAGCTGCACACCTGCCCAGGTGCCAGGGGTTTCAGCTGTGATCTAGAGAGCAGATGTCCACCTGAACATGATGGTGACAAATGGGACAGCAAACAGCTGCCAAGCAGGGCCATTTTTCTCTTCATTCTGCCAGATGTAAGTAAGAGGCTAACAGCTCAATACATCACACTTTATCCCATCAGATACCATCTTGTCTTTTCAGAAAAGTAGAAGAAATATTTCAGTTTTAATACTCTCTTTATTTTGAAAGATCAGGAGAACAACAGTGACCAGAACTGTTGTTACCACGCAATTTTGATCCATAACAGGATATTGAATATTTGAAGGGAGAGAGCCCAAAAGCTTGGGCTGCAGGTTTGCAGCAGACCCTATTAATAGCCATATCATATTCCTGTTTATTCGGTGGCCTTTCTTTTAAGGGAAAACACAGCTCATCCCTGCTGCCCCAAATGCAAGGAGAAGAATGGAAGGGGCTGCATGAAAATGTGTCAGCCTGGGTCCCTCCTGTGCTTCTTGCAGAAAGGAAAGGAAGATATTAATGCAGATGATTTTGTTACATAAATACATGTTGTATCAGGGCCATTTTTAGCATTTGTGGGGGTGTGAAGAACTTCTCCAAGCTGCGTATCTATTTCATAGGATTCAACTGAACTGAGGAAAAGGACAGAGAGTTTTAAGGTAAACTATCAAGATACATTTTATTTAAGCCCACACAATTCTGTACAGAGCTCCACACAACAGAAACAATATTTCACTAACACCTCTCTGGCCTTAGTAGTGCTTTTTAATGCTTTGTAATAGAAAGACCTCTTAATATAATTGGATAAAATTATGGACAAGTTTATCATCAAATTTCAAATAATGCGTCTGCCATTTGTCTTCAGAGAGTTTCAGTTGCTTTAAATTCCAAAGGACTTTACCACTTAATTAAAATGAAATTTTAAAATCCAGAAATCAAATTTTTAATTTAATGTCAAAGTCATTTAAATTTCAAATAGATAATTTTCTAGCCAGGAAGGAACCTATTTTTGAATGAAAAATAAAATCTGGGGGTAATTTCACAAATAGGTTCATAACATACATAACTTCATTTCTGAGCAGTTTTTTATTGTCCCTTTTACTTTAGTGCCATGTCCCATGGTTAGAGCAAGGTGATAATAACACCAAGGCTGTGGCTTTGACCCCTGTGTGAATCCCTTCCAACTCAGAATATTCTATGACCTCTGTGATCTCAAATCCCCAGGGGGTGCATGTGGCTCATTTCACCCTTCTTGATGTGTCCATCTGTACAGAAGGCAGAGAGTGAACTACAGATCTCAGCACAGCCAGGCCAGCTGGGGACTTTTTACACCATAATAAAAATGGGCCCAGGTTTAGCTGTGGGCCTAGGCCCAGGGTGTCTGGGGCTGGCATGGACAAAAACAGATTTTGCCTTCCTTCCACACAGGAAATGTCCAGGTACCAAAGCAGCAAGGAGATCCTCTGAGTGGTTTTGATGGCAAATGTTTCCAAAAAGCATTTTTTCATATTATCTCTGTGGCCATCTGAGAACATTATCCTTCTGGACAGCTTTTAGGGGACTATTTTACTTACAGGAAGGCATTGCCAAAGGGAAGTCTTCATGGGATTAGCTAGTGCTGCATTTTTTTTCCTCATGCTCCAAAAGGATCTGCTTGCTTTGAAAGGATTTTTTTTTCCAGAAAGGACATAAAACACTAACTTTTTATAAATTGTGCGAGCTTGGTAATTTGGTTAATTTCCCAACAGTGTCTACACTTGGTGTTTCTCAGAGCTCACTGTGAAATCCCCATGGCAGATCCCAACTCGATCTCTGGTAGCTCCAAGGCGCTTAAAACTAGAAGAAAGAGAAGGTTAAGGAAGAGGAGGGTTACCTGAGTAAGTCTAATTCAATAGTTTGAGCATCCATGGCAGCCTTGATGCAGAGTATTTTAAAAACATGGTAAAGAATGTTAGTCTTATTTCATAAAATCAGGCAGACATAGGAGTCCATATTTTGGGCACTTCACAGTTTTGGAAATTAACTTTTTTGCCGCAGGGGTCAAGTTTCTCAAACCAGTGTTTTAAATTCACCATGAATCTGCTGAATCACCATAAATCACATGTGAATTACTGCTCTAAGAGATTAATTTAAAGACACCTTCTGAATTGGTGGTTTAAATGGAAAAGAAGTCAAGAATTGATTTCACTGGTTACAAGGGTTCTTTTTGGTGGTATAATGACAAGGAAAACTCAAACCCTCACTGTGGCCCCATATTTGCTCCTCAATGCTCCATTCGCTCATTCTGTTGCTGACTTTATCTTGGGTTTATTTTGAAGTCACTTAATACCAGATGAAAATCTATCCTGCTGGGAAAGGAAGAAAGGTTTAACATTATTGCTCAGCATTCATCAAAGGAGACAAGATAAATGCAATATATCATAATAATAAGGATTCCTGAATGACCCCTTAGACTCTAGAGCCCAACTTTGGTTACAGTTTAGGAGGAAATTCAGGAGTTCAGAGAGACTTCAGAGAGGTCATAATCTTTGGGGAACAATAAAACTGCTAAAACTGTGCTTTACACAGGCTTACTGCCCAAAGCCATGTTTTTTCTTTTTGGAGCAGGAAATAAAAATATTTGCATCTTGAGCAAAGAGTAAAATTCATTTGCAGTTATAATGCATTCAACATAAAAGAAAATAAAACAAGGAGAGTCTCATCGTTAGGAACACTTTAACCTGGTTCAAAATAAGATACACACTGGAAAGAGGTATCTAGTATCAATTACAAGGACAGCTGGATGGAGAGAATAATGCAGAGACAGGTGTTTTCTACCTTTTGTTTCCATTAGAACATAGAGTATCTCTGAAACATTTGTTTACTCTTACTGCTTGCCACACAATAACACCACAAAAGCCCTTTCAGTGTGTGACAGCCGAGACTTGGAAGTTGCAAAACGCAAACCTCACCAAACAAGTCTCTGTGGCAATCTGGTTAAAAATTAACAAGACCTGTAAACAATAAAACCAATGAAATCATTCTCTTAGACTGATGGTCTGCATCACAGAAGAGAAAGTAGGGAAAACATAAAAAATACAGAACGAAAGGAAAATGCAATGTCTTCAACATGTGGCTAGGAAGAAGGAAGAGATCAACATGGGATTTTGTGAAGATTTCACTGAATCCAGTATCTATGGCAGCAGTCCCAGCCCAGATGTGATGGCCCTGGGACAGCTGGGAGCCACCACTGTGGTATCACCAGTGGTAGCCACTGGCATCAGTCACCTCACCAAAGTGTCCTTCTGCATCACAGCAGTAATGGACATTTCTGAAGGGTCAGTCAACACAGCTAAAATCTTTATATAACTGTGCATGTCCCTATTCTCTTCCAATTAATTAAGGTGCTTAAGTTAGGGCCTTTGAGGAGGTTGTCTCCCTCTCTACATAAGAAAGAGAAATAGGGTACTTCAGGAGGTGGTTCTGGCTTTGTTCCTAGGGCCATTTTTGCTGGCAGCTAAAGCAATGCAACCAGACATCTTCACCTCCTCCTCTCCCCACCCACATCATCACAGGTAGGTAGTTGACAGTGGAGCACTATGGTGAACTGGGTAAAAAGAAACCTCCAAAAAACCCCAACCAGCCAACCAACACACCAACCAAATTAAATCCACAGAAATTAGATAAACCTAAACAGAGGAAACAAGCAGTGACCTGACAGTGCGAACATTTGTTCTCCAGAGACATAAATCATCCTCGTGGGTTTAAGAAAACAGAATTAAATTCAGAATATAGATGGACACAGCAGATACTGAACCCATTGCATGGAGCCTTTTCTCAGAGACCACGAGAGTTTGAAGGATTGCATGAACAGACACAAAAGGGAAAAACTAAAACCAGATAAATCACAAATTCATAGTAAATCTATGAGAAGTGGAATGACCTTTACTCTTCCTCCCTCGTCTCTCATCCTTACAAGGAGAGAGAAAAAAAGTTGATTTTACTATGTTATATTAGCTCTTTTTCAACAGACACAATGGACTGTATTTTGTTCCTGTTAAGTTATTGCCAACAAAGGATATATTTGTCCTGACATGCTGCTTTGTTCACAGTACTGTTCAAAAAATTACATTATAAGGACACAGACACAGTATTTATTTAATCACTGTAATACATTACATTCCTACTCAAGGATGTTTCAATATACTCACACAGGAGTTTAGAACTGAAAGTTTCCTTAGACAAATGTCTTCCTCTTTTTTCTCTCATGTAACTATACCAGACCATTACCCCAGATGTTTATACATATATATATATATATATATATATATATATAAACACGTGTTATGTTGTTTTGCTAGTGTCGTACACAGTTTCATGCACACATCTTTGCCTGCTCAAGAAGGACCTGCAACCCAGCTGTATTTACTAAATCTTGCCTAACACTCTTTGATAAATGCTCCCTTTAAAATCTTTCCTCTGTAACATGAAAAGTCAATGCCCTAATTTTAAGTTGCCCTTTGAAAGTGAGCCAGTATTCAGATAGATATTGACTCTAGGCCTGCTGGTTGTTCTACAGCAGTGTTTGGAAGGCTGCTGTTCTAATGAATGTGCTAACATTTGATACACACACTAAGAAAATCAATAGCACTATTTTTAAAAAAGCATGTGGCTTTACTAAGTACACTGTCACTACCCTGTTGTGCAGAAGTTTACTACAAACCTCCCTATATGACTAAATTGCTGCATCTGGCTCATTTCTGTACTTGCCTATCAGAATGCATAATACCAGACTTCAAGGACATCCAAAGTCAGCCTCTGAAGCAGAGGCTTATTTAAGTCTGAAGTGTATGTGGCAGTCTGTACCTGAAACTCTCATGCAAGTGTCAGTTTTTCCTCATTTTTGCCCTGCTGTTGGGACATAAGACACCTAGGGGACCTAACTCAGTGTTCACATCAGAAATGTCTGCTTCTGTGGTTTCTGAATGAATGGGTGACTATGGGCAGAGAATAAAATATTTTTATAGTCACTGTTGTATAAATTAATCCTGCTCTCTAGCTCCTTGTCTTTAGTAGGCAAATGCACTGCAAGGTTCTTGAATCTCAGCCTTAGATCTGCTCAAGCCCATCTAAGTCACCCTGTTTTCCAAGCAGCTACTGTAAATATCCAGTCCATGTGAGTGAACAGGCTAAAAACCTGTAAGGGAAAGGAATATGTGTAAGAAGCAAACCCAGATGAAATCCAAATGGAGTGTATATTTAAGTACTTCTAGTCACACTGACTTAATTCCAACTCTGAAAGTGTATTTTCTCCTTAAGGAACTGATTCAACGCTATAATATGTGGGCATATACTTGAACCAGAGACTAAATATACCACTAAAGCAGTAAACAGTTAAGGCAAGATAGATGATCAAACAGGTAATACAACAGGTAATAAAATATTATGTTCAAGTATGTCTTCAATCTCTGAAAAGTTTCAAAATTTAGGAATATAGAACTATGTGAATCAATCAAAACTAGCTATTTCCATCATTTAACTCTTCAGTGCTAGTTAATTGCCAAAACATAGAACCAAGCTCATCAGAAGGAATAGAAATTTCTTCATATGCATTTGTATATGCCTATAGCAGGCATAGGTTAGCTGAAAAAGAAGCCAAGCAGCTACACGAGAGGAAAAATTTAGATTTTACCAAAATATGAGCTGGTGGCCTGGCTGAAGAGAGCTTTGGCTGAAACTCAGGAAATAAAGGAGAGTTTATGACCTGCAGAAGAAAGGGCAGGCAGGAGGACTACAAGGATATTGTGAAGTTATGCAGAGAGAAATATAGAAGGGCCAAAGCCCAACTAGAATTTAATCTGGCTACTACCGTAAAAGACAACAAAAAATGTTTCTATAAGTACTGTAGGAACAAAAGGAGGGCTAAGGAGAATCTCCATCCTTTATTGGATGTGTGGAAAACATAGGGACAAACAATGAGGAAAAGGCTAAGGTACTTAATGCCTTCTTTGCCTCAGTCTTGAATAGTAAGATCAGTTGTTCTCCAGATGTGCGCAGCCTCCTGAGCTGGAAAACGGGGATAGGGAGCGTAATGAAAACCCCATTTCCCCAAGGGAAAGTGGTCAGTGACCTGCTACACCATTGAGATGCTCACGAGTCTATGGTGCCAGATGAGATCCATCCAAAGGTACTGAGCAAGCTGACAAGTGCTCACTGAGCCACTTCCCATAATTTATCAGCAGCCCTGGCTAACAGGGAGGTCCCAGTTGACTGGAGGTTGGCAAATGAGACACCCATCTACAGGAAGGGTTGGAAGGAGGATCTGGGGAACTACATGCCTGTCAGCCTGACCTCAGTGCCAAGAGAAGGTCATGGAGCAGATCATTTACTATGCCATCACAAGGCATGTGCAGAACAACTGGGGGATCAGGCCCAGCCAGCATGGATTTATGAAAGGCATCTCCTGCCTTTCCTTATGAAAGGAGATCCTCCTGATCTCCTTCTATGACAAGGTGACCCACTTCGTGGATAAGGGAAAGGCTGTCAATGTTTTCTACATGGACTTTAGTAAAGCCTTTGACACCATTTCCCACAGTATTCTTCTGGAGAAACTGGCTGCTCCTGGCTTGGATGGGTGCACTCATCTCTGGGTAGAAAATTGGCTGTATTGCTGGGCCCAGAGTGCGGTGGTGAATGGATTTACATCAAGTTGGTGGCAGGTTACAAGTGGTGTTCCCCAGGGCTCAGTATTGGGGCCAGTCCTGTTTAATGTCTTTATCAATTATCTGGATGAGGCAAGCAAGTTGACCCTCAGCAAATTTACAGACAATGCCAATTTGGGTGGGAGTGTTGATCTGCTGGAGGGTAGGAAGGCTCTGCAGTGGGATCTGGACAGGTTGGATTGATGGGCCAAGACCAACATTATGAGGTTCAAAAAGGCCAAGTGCCGCATCCTGCATTTGGGTCACAACAACCCCCTGCAGCGCTACAGGCTTGGGGCAGGGCAGCTGCAAAGCTGCCTGAAAAAGGACATGGAGTTGCTCATCGACAGCATTGCTGAACATGAGCCAGCAGTGTGCCCAGGTGGCCAAGAAGGCCAATGGCATCCTGATCTGTGTCAGAAATAGTGTGGCCAGCAGGACCAGGGCAGTGATCATCCCCCTGTACTTGGCACTGATGAGGCTGTACCTCTAGTACTGTGTCCAGTTCTGGGCCCCTCCACCACAAGAAAGACGTTGACGTGCTGGAGCGTGTCCAGAGAAGGACTATGGAGCTGCTGAAGGGTCTGGAGTGCAAGTCTTATGAGGAGCAGCTGAGGGAGCTGGGGGTCTTTAGTCTGGAGAAAAGGAGGACCTGTGGGGGACCTTGT